TCTATCTATCTATCTATCTATCTATCTATCTATCTATCTATCTATCTCAGGGGTAGGATTCTACCGGTTCGGACCGGTTCTATAGAACCAGTTGTTATGATTCTGCGCAGTTCGGAGAACCAGCAAATCGTACCCCTGGCTGGCCCCTCCCTTCTCTGCCCACCCCACCCCGTCCCACTCCACCCAGTCAGTCCTTATCGCGCATGCCTGACATCGCTGACTGTGATGCCAGGCATCGCAGTCACTGCTTAAGATATTTCTTCCCCCCCCTCCTGATGACCAGCTGTTTCTATGATCAGTTGTTCCGGGATTCCCCTTGTTTACTTACTGCTTCATCCAGGAAGCTTTCCTGAGACCCAGGAAGGCAAAAAATGGGTGGGGGCTCAATTTTTTCCTTCCTGTGCCCCAGGGAGGCTTCCTGGGAGCAAAAAAAAAAAAAAAGGCCTTCCCGCCGGAGGCTTCCCTGAGGCCCAGAAGGCCCCAAAACAGAGCTCAGCTGCACACCCTTCCAGACTCCATTGTTTTTCTTCCTGAGCCCCAGGGAAGCCTTCTGGGAGCAAAAATGTCCCCCCCTCCGAGGCTTCCCTGAGGTCCAGAAGGCCCAAAAAACGGGGGAGGTTGTGCTGCCAAAAAAAAAAAAAAAGAATAAGCCATGCCTACCCAGTCACATGGCCACACCCACCTAGCCACGCCCACCTAGCCATGCCCACAGAACTGGTTGTTAAAACATTTGAATGCCAACCCTGATCTATCTATCTATCTATCTATCTATCTATCTATCTATCTATCTATCTATCTATCTATCTATCTAGTATAGCAACATTGAATTTTTGTCCATATAAGTTATTTAAGTTACTTACACTACTTTAGGATTCAACTCTCTTCCCACTTTTTTAAAACTTCTATAGGAAACTGCTGAGTGAGGTTACTCTTCAGCATAGGATGATAACTCCATTGTACATCTTTACAGGTTGCCCTACAGGTCTCAACAGTGATACTATTGATGTTTTCTCCCTCTCTGGAAGCTCTAGGAGTTTCTGTAAAAAGGAATTGGCTTTGGCTAAATCCTGACTAGATTGTACAGTTATACTTTTAGAGCCCCCAGCATGTAGTAGTTTTCTATCATTAATTGGGCATGTGGGTCACATTCCCCAAAACATGTAATCTGTGAGTGCTCCTCGACTTTCACTTCCTGCTCAAGGAGTAAATGGCAGCCATGGGCAGGAGAGCCTTCACATTATGTGTGCCAGTAGCACTTATTTCCAGATCCGGAGGTACAGCTCATAGTCATTCACATCTTTTGTCATCTCCCACTTGGACTATTTAACATATCCTATATGAGATGTCTCTTGAAGATCATCTAGAAACTGCAGCTGGTCAAGAGTGCAGTGGTACAGATAGTAGTATTACAATCACTGATAATAATTGCAATATGAGTTCTATTGGCTATCAAAAGGCTTCTAGCCCTTTATGGCTTTAGGCCAGGTTAACTTTAGGGCCACCTATCACTATTGGTTTCTACTCATCTCACTAGGCTTGGCAGAGTCTCCAGGTCCTCTGGGTGAAGCAGTGTCACCGGGTTCACGCTAGGAAGTATGCCTTCACCGTCATGATCTGCCTTATGAAACATGAGATATATAGACAGCAACTTTTCTTCTGGCCTTTCAGAGGGCTGTGAAGATAAGCCCTTTCCCTTAGACGTTGATACGAGGATGTTAATTAACTTGAACTCTGATTGTGTGAATGTGTCAATATGGATTTTTGTTTGGCTTTTTTAAAATGGATGTTTATATGTTGTTTGCTGCACAACGTTTTGTTTTAGATAGATGGATGGCCATAGAAATTAGATAAATAAATAAGCAAGCAAACAAATGTTCTGGAACAATTAAAACATATACCGTGTTTCTCATATAATAAGGCCGGGTCTTTTTTTTTTTTGAGCCCCGAAAAAATGGCTAGGTCGTCTTTTCGGGGCTGACTTAATTCCACCCCTTGCATCTTCGGGTGGGCGGGTAGCAACAGCTTGGATGTTGACCTCGGCGTTGGTGGGGCACTTCGTATCGGGGTCAAGGCAGGCAGCACCATATCCAGGTGTGCAACAAAAGTACTTCCTAACGGCAAGCCCCCCCACCATTCCCCCCCATTTCACATGTTTTAATATAGGCCTTAATTTGGGGGGAGGGGCTTAATTTCATTTCATGCCTATAAAACATGCTGGGACTTCCTATTGGGGGAGGCCGTATTGTTGGAGAAACAGGGTAGAAAAACCCAATAAACGAAATAACACTGAAACAATAAAATCAGCAGCTGGAATAAAATGTTTCTAAGCAGCAATATTTTACCATATTGCTGATATTGATTTAAATGCCTAGAAAAATAAGAACATTTTTCCCTGGCATTGAAAACAAAACACAATTGCTA